TTGGCCACTTTAAGATGAGTGGACTTCAACTCCCAGAATTCCCCAGCCAGCCAAGTTTGGACAACACTGTTATAAGGAGTATGGTGGCACACAAGAGACAGTGGATGGTTGATGCTTCTCTCCAGAGGCAGAAATTGCCCAGTAATCCATACACAATTGACTCTACTGGGTGGTTTTATACTTTTAAAATAAGTATCTCTCTCCATATTGCAGATGATAATATAGAGGTGTGATTCAACACAACAAAATGAGATTTAATTTTCTATCTGAAGCCACTCCTGATGCTTCACATTGTTTTCTGATTGCAGTGCATTGATGCCTTTGCTTTTCTCTTGAGAAGCCTCTATCTATCCATCCATCCCAAATCCTTCATTAAAACAGTGGAAGAGTCACTAATTGTGCAACTGGACTGGTGGGAACATTTGGCAACATTTTTAATCTTTGTTCCTCTTACTCGTTGCTACTTGCACAACTTCCCAATCTCTGCCCTTAAAGCTTGTTGAGAAAACTAGAAATAAAACTTTCAGAAAGAGAGAGAAAAAGAGACAAGAACCTCATGGATTTATGTCTATGCGCAGTTTGGGAGGAGTGAAATTTATTTATTTGAAGTTCAGAAATCCAGAAATGTAGTGGATGCAGCGTAGGAGCTGCTGGGTGGGGCATGTAGCTTACTTAGTTAGACAGGGTGCAGACTAACCAGAAAGGGAACCCAGCACAATACAGCAGGTGGGGAAACCATTCAAATCCAACAGAGAATAAATGTGGCTTTGGCCTTTCACCATAACTTTACTCTCTTTGACATTGTCTGGAGGTTGAGTCATGGCAACTGGACCTCTCTTTTTTGGTAGAGATGTTTTGCTGCTTGTCCAAGAAGCTGCTTGGACAAGTAGCGAAACGTCTCTACCAAAAAAGAAAAGAAGTCCAGTTGCCATGGCTCAGCCTCCAGACAATTCCACCTGGATAACTGAGCATCTTCATAAACAAATCTCTTTGACATTAATATATCCTGCCCTTTTTAGCAGCTGTATTTGCCCTCTAAGCAGTTAAAAACATCACCAAATCAGAGGCACAGAATCTCACAGCAATATAGGTATATTGATTTGGTGATGTTTTTAACTGCTTAGAGGGGAAATACAGCTGCATGGTTTAGTTATCCCTAGTTTGTTGGTTAACTTAAAACTGCTGGGGTTTTAGGGTCAATGAGAGAGAGCTTTTTCTCTACATGCACTTAGTGGTCTGCAAGAGAGAATCTTCTGATAGCAGTTCCCACACTGTAGAGTTCCCTGCCAAGAGATTTGGGGGTTAGCTCCACCTTGGATGTCTTTACCCCTTCCATATTGGCACCAGTTCTCCTCTCCAAAACACTGAGAAGGAGTAAAGAACGTAATTGAATCACTGCCTCATCCTGAATTGCTGCTTCAAGAGAATTATTCCTATGACTTGGAGCTGTAAAGCCATCAAAGAATCTCCTGCAGATGGGAAAATGAACCCCCATAAGCACCACAAAGCTGCATACTTAAATCAAAACCAAATTCCACTGATATGCCTAATATATATTGCAACTGATTGATTTATTATATGCCATCAAGTTGATGTTGACTCTCAGAGATATATAGATAGATTCTCTCCACGACCAGCTGTCCCTAACCTGGTCCTTCAGGTCTTGCAACACCCATCACCACTGTAACTGAGACCATCCACCTTGCTATGCTGGTCATCCTCTTCTTCTGTTTCCTTCCACCTTTTGCTGCATCAGAGCCTCCTCCAGAGAGCTGGGTCTTCGCATAATGGGCCCGAAGTAGGATCATTTGAACTTGGTCATTTGTGCCTCGAGTGAGATACTCTGGGTTGCTTTGTTCAATGATCCACTTCTTTGTTTTCTTGGCTGTCCTGGAGTAAATCATCAACTGCTCAACACAGAAACAGCATTTAGATCACAGAGGTGCTGAGCTGATTCTGGACGGTCCAAAGACCTCCACGTGGAGGCGCATAGAAGGGTTTGTCTTTAGGCAGACTTGTCAGCTCCAGAAACAGGCTGGTGCTGTTAATTGCATTGTATTATTTATGTATTTTTATTCGCTTTAATACTGTGATTATCTATTTTGGTGGGCTTTTGTTAGATGCCTTAGGGAAGCGACATTCGCGGCCAAAAGGTGGGATATAAATTCGATTAATAAACAGATCGTAGAAGGGGACACCTGGGCGCCGCCCGCCTCCCTCCTTCCCCCCCGCCAGCTCGCGCACGCCCTGCGGTCCGTGTCTGGCGTGCGCGCTCGCGCGCCGCGGATTCTTCGGACAGGGATTAATCGCGCGTGCGCGCGTCCCCGCTAAGTAAGAGCCGCCACAGCTGCAGGCGGGACTTACAGGGGATTGGAGCTGCGCCGAGCAGCGAAAGTGGGGAGAGGCTGTCTGGGGATGTGCGGCGGAACGACGGCTGGATCTACTGAGCGAGTGCCCGATTGCCGCCGCCGCCTTTTTCGGTCGGATCGGGATTTCCTTTCCGGAGCTGTTCTTTGCCCGCTCGTCAGCTTGCCCTGCAGGAGCGCCTTTTGCTTCCCTCTTTTCTGGAGGTGAACCCGTTCTCAGCAGCTTCGCGCCCCCGCGGGTGAAACCGCCCTCCTCCTCTCCTGGGTCCTTGTCCGCAATCTAGTCTCGCTTCGCTTTTTCGTTTCTCTTCGCTTCCTCCCTCCCTAACCTGAAGCTCCTCCTCTTCTGCCCCATATACAGTACTGCTCCCGTTGCTTCTCCCCTTCCTTTCTCCAGGCAGCTCGGTTTGTGTCCTTCCCAGCAGTCACACCTGTCCTGCTCCTTCCCCGCACCCACAGGTCCTGTGCCTGTGTCATTTGCTGAAGCGGCTCCCCTGTTTTGTAAGCCACTCCTCGCTGTAGGGGACTCCCCTGCTTGTGGCCTCTGCTGAAAACAGAAAATTACCCTGAAGTGCTTCCAGATCTCTTTCCTTGCTTTGGTATTTCTTCCATCCTGGATTTCGGATTTTCCTGGTTGAGTTGTCGCCTGACAGAAGAACTAGCATGCCCCTGTTCCATCGCCTGATTTGTTACCTACAAGATGCAGAGAAAGTTGCCCGTTTCCAAAAACTATGCGGTGTAGAAGCATTACCAGACTGGAGGTCTCTCTCCTCTGCTCAGTTGGTGGACACAGAACATCTCTTGGCCAATGGGAACGGCACCGTTGCCAAGACAGAGGGCGAAAGTGGCAGGCGCTGTCGGTTCCCGGATTCTTTTAACATGGAGGAGAAAAATACTGAGAACCACTCGAATGCTATGAGGAGTGGGGTAGTTTCTAAAGAAGCCGGTGGGGTGGAATCCCAGCAAACCTCCCTAGAAAAGCAGAAGCAGCAAAAGCGGGCCTCAAAAAAGCATCCTCGGCGCAACTCTCTGACTGGAGAATCCATATCCCAGAAGTTCAGAATCCGTAACCTTTTCCTTTATTACCTCTTCAGCTTGGGCACAGAACTGGGCAATGAACTTTTCTATATCATGTTTTTCCCCTTCTGCTTCTGGAATGTGGATGCTTGGCTGTGCAGGAGAATCATCATCATGTGGGTTTGGACAATGTACTTGGGCCAGTGTACTAAGGATATTATCCGTTGGCCAAGGCCTGCTTCTCCACCAGTAGTGAAGCTGGAAGTTTTCTACAATTCTGAATACAGCATGCCCTCCACGCATGCCATGTCAGGCACCGTCATCCCTGTAACACTGTTCTTACTCAGTTATGGACGGTGGCAGGTAAGAACTCAGTTCTGTTTATATTAAGACACTTAATGTTTCTTCACTGCTGGTGAAATAATTTGCTGAATATATGAAACACTGCGTTTACTTTTTAAATCCATTTTAAAATGGAAAGTATTTGTTCCCAGGTAAATACTTAGACAACTAGCAGATTTGATCATTTATATAAAAATTCCAGGATTAATATGCTGATAACTACTTTTCTGAATTTTGCTTCTCTTTAGAATATTCCAAACAAACCTTCTCATTGAGATATTATTGGTAAGCATTGGGATGTTTTATTTATTGCTTTTGCTGCATGGGAATTAGTCTTGAAGCCAGATGATATAGGTCAAACTTGGATTTGAAAATAAAATAATACAGTGGATTTACTTTCTGTTCCCTTAGTTGGTATTTGGAAGTATTTTCTGTATTACTGAGTTGGATTAGATGTTTATATAATTCACAGAGGAGACCAATAAAGCATTACAGAATTTCTCCTACCTTAAACCATTAACTTTACTTTAGAATTGTTCTGGTAACCTAACACAGTAATTTCTAATTGTAATATAAGTATGGGGAATAGGCCCTATTCAGTTTGAGATAATGCCTAGATTAAGTATGACTCTATTTACGTGAGGTGTCAACTTAACTGTGCAGTTCTACGCAGATTTTCTTGAATATTGCACTGTATTATTCCAGTAGGTGTGCAAATTTATGTAGTCTTATCTTTCCAAGTAAACCTTCATAAGTATGTGTTCCATCTGAGCATGCAGATTTTGGTCCTAATGCAATAGCTAGTATTTCTGAATAAGAAGAATTGTATCCATATCCACATCTAAAATGCATCTAGTAAGTTCAGCAGAGCCTGAACAAGCAAACTGATAAAGATAATGGCTGCACAAATGGATGTGTGAATTTTTGTTTGTTGCATAGACAGCAACCATCCTGAAGCACTAAGGAGTTTGAGTTTCTTTCACCTGAATACTCTAGAGATTCCACCCATCTCATGGCTGGCTGGGGAATTCTGGGAGTTGAAGTCCTCATATCTTACAGGTTGAGAAACACTGCCCTGAAGGATTTATTATTCATTCTACTGTTGTTTTTCATGTTTTTCTTCCATAAAGCTTTTGTGTGTCTCTGGAAACCATCTAAGATGTTGGCCAAGACAGGAATGAATTTGCTTGGACAGGAATTATGACATTACTTTTGACATAATTATGACATAATTATGACAAAATACATATTACTATGTTAATAAAAGTTGTATTCATGATTCTGTTAGTGAAGTTCTGTTTAACTTTCATATCTCCTTGTGTTATTTTTAAACTACTGTATTGGCTAAGATTGAAAGTCTTCCTTCTGTACTTTAAAAGGGTTTTTCTTTCTGCAGAAGACTTCCAGTCTAGTGAAATGAAGAGATTTCTTCCCTGTCAATCTGCTCCAAAAGGCCAGGGAAGTTACAGAGAGAGGAAGGAACTAGTATTAAGCTTATCCTCCCTTTCATCATGGAGACTGTTCTGAGCAGAATTCTTCTGGAGGGGGCTGTACAACTTAGTGTTTTCTTTAAAATGTTTAAATTTTAATCTCAGCATGCTTATCACTGGCCATGCCTTGTTATCTAAGACATCAGGAAAATTAGTAATCGATAGTTGAATGAATGGCAGTTTATTATGTAGAACAGTCTATGAAGGCTATTGCTGTTGCAAAAACACAAAGCTGATTTATCTTAGTATAAGAAATCCCTACCTTCTTCCATCTGTGCAGCCATCCAGTAGTACACCTTTGGGGTTAACTGATTTTTTTCTGTTCAGATATAGTAGGACTGTACTTAGCATGTTCTAGAAATCTAGCATACTATATTCCAGAATGTGAAAATGTCTGGATTACTGCTTGAGAGCGAATAAACAGTACTATGTAGTTATTTGATAATATTTTAAATCTAGCAATATGAAGCCTTGGGAATATTGGCCTTCAATAAATTAGACTATCCACATGTCATTTTTTCCTCCCCAAAAATGTTTAAAGAGGATTCCTTGGAAGAATGTGAGATATACTCATTTTAGATATTATTATTACTGGGACCCTAACGAGCTGAGTGATAGGAGGTATGAGTATCTCATAAAGATTTCAAATTCTGCTAGTTGAGGAGCAATCAGGCATTTTGTTAATATAATGAAGTGTTGCTGAGGCTGCAGTATCTATAGAAACCTCTAATGTATAAATGTCAGAGGCAAGTCTTCAGTGCTTCATGTACAGTTTAATCAGTAAGTCAAAATTGTTTTTAAGTCATATTAAAATGGAACTCCCATCTCTGACACATAGTTTAAAAATATTAGTGAACTTTTAAATTAAAGAATAAATATGAAGACATATGAGGTAAATTACTCTTTTGGAATTATTAGCAAGGGAATTAAAAATAAAACAGTCAATATAATAATGACCTTTTATAAATCTGTGAAGACTTGGAATACTATGTATACTTCAGGTCTCCACTCCTTAAAAAGGATAGTTTAGAGCCGGAAAAGTTGCAGAAATGGCAATCTAAATAATTACACATTTAGAATGCATCTACTATAAGGAAAGATTTCAGTATTTATTTATTTCATGGATTTATGGGGCTGCACAACTCAAAGTGACTCTGGGTGGCATATAGAACTTTTAGTCAATAGAAGAGAATATGTGTAGCTCCGGGTTGAACTGTGGAGTCCTTGGGGTTCTCTGAGCTTGGCTGTTTTCTTGCAAATGTTTCATTACCTTTTCTAAAGGTTATGAGAGTGGGGGCACACCGCATCTCGGGAGGTAGGTTGTTCCACAGAGCAGGGGCCACAGCAGAAAAGGCCCTCTTCCTAGACCCCACCAGTTGAAATTCCTTGACTGGTGGAATCTGCAACATGCCCCTTCTGCCAGACCGAGTGGGGCAGGCTGATATAACGGGCAAGAAGGCTCCTCAGATAACCTGGTCCTGTTCCATGAAGGGCTTTAAAGGTGATAACCAACACCTTGAATTGGACCAATGCAGCTCGCGTAACAGTGGTGTTACTGTATATGTGCCCCTCCAGGGGCATTCAGAACTGTCTGTGCTGCTGTATTCTGCACTAGCTGTGGCTTCCGGATACTCTTCAAGGGTAGCCCCATGTAGAACGCATTGCAGTAATCCAACGGGGAGGTGACCAGGGCATGAGTGACCGTGCGGAGGGCCTCCCAATCGAGGAAGGGGTGTAACTGCTGCACAACATGAAGTTGCACATAGGCCCTCCTAGCCATGACTGCCACCTGCTCTTCGAACAGGAGTTGTGAGTCCAGGAGGACCCCCAAATTACCCACCCGGTGTGTCTGGGGCAGTGCGACCCTGTCAAGAACCAAAGATGATAAACTTCTAGATCTTGAGGCTCCCTGTACCCACAGCCACTCCGTCTTACCAGGGTTCAGTTGAAGCCTGTTGACCCCCATCCAGGCCCCTACAGCCTCCAGGCACTGCGAGAGGGTAGCCATAGCATCACTTAGGTCACCCAGGATGGAGATGTATAATTAGGTATCATCAGCATACTGATGATACCTCATTCCATGGTGCCGAATGATCTCACCCAACGGTTTCATGTAGATGTTATATACGAGTGGTGAGAGCACCGAACCCTGAGGCACCCCACAAAGTGGACCTCTTGCTCCCTATCAACACCGATTGGGTTCAGCCTTGGAGAAAGGAGCTGAACCAGCACAGCACTGTGCCACCCAGCCCCAACTCCTGCAGCTGACCCAAAAGGATACAATGGTTGATGGTATTGAGAGCCGCTGAGAGATCAAGAAGAGCAAGGATGGATGCACTACCCTCATCCCACTCTCACCAGAGATCCTCCAAAAGTGCGACCAATGCTGTTTCTGTCCCATAACCGGGCCTGAAATCTGACTGATAGGGGTCCAGATAATCCGTTTCCT